TGAGTGGCCGAAGACGAGGGTTGGAAGCGTTGGCGCGACTGAGGCGATGAACTCGTGCGGGACTGTCGGCCAAAGTAACACCAAAATCGTGGAAATGGTGTACTCTTTGCTGGAAATGCTGAGAATGTCTTCGCCGGACGAGATGTCGGCCAAACTGCTGCTGATGTCTCACTCGCCGCAGATCTGCCACGAGATGAGACAATACGGATGCCTTCCTCTACTCATTCAACTCATTCATCAACAGTCGGACGACGCGGACGAGAGTAATGGCGCCTCAGAGGACGAGCGCATCGCCAGACAGCGGACGACTGGAGCGCAAAGAGAGCTGCGGGAGAGGGCGTCGAAGACGTTGAGGAATATTGTCCACAATTCGGCGAAAAGTCGTCGCGAGGTTCGGGTCCTGAAACTCGTCGAAGACTTGCGCTCTTTCGTCAACTATTTGCGAGTCAACGGCTCGAAGGCGGCGGCGAACGGCGCCTCCTCTGCCGCCGCCAACGGCGACGACTTCACGGATCACCCGAACAGTTCCGTCGCTTACCTCTTGAAGGTGTCCTTCGATGAGGAGCACCGGCGGGTCATCACTCTGTTGGGCGGCGTCTACGCCATCGCTGAGGTCTGTGGTTATCATACCATCACTTCGTCGCATGTCTTAACCCCTGTATCTAATCGTTGGACCCATTCTTCAGGTGATTCAATACGACTACGAATACCATCGAAACGCGCGGAACAACGGCTGCGTCACTCTTCGGCGCTACTCTTTGATGGCATTAATTAATCTGACTTTCGGTGACTCGCAGACGAAGTCACTGTTGGCCGCAATGAAGGCCTTCATGAGGGCGTTGGTCCACAATCTCGAGTCGCCCGCCGAAGAGCTGAGACAAGTGGCCGCCAGTCTCTTGAGGAACCTCTCGTGGAAAGCGGATTACATCACTAAACAGATTCTGCGCGAAGTGGGAACCGTCGCACTGCTCGCACAGGTATGTAGACATCCCGTCCCCTCACTCTTGTCTATCACTCTTTTTGAGACATTTTGTGACCATTTGTTTGCTCTCATCGATGACTCGGAAGGCGGCTCTCGAGGCGACCAAAGAGTCGACGCTGAAGTCAATACTGTCTGCGCTGTGGAACCTGACGGCCCACTGCGGCCCTAATAAAGCCGACTTCTGTCGAGTGGACGGCGCCCTACCGTTCCTCATATCGACGCTCACCTACACGTCGGCCACCAATTCCATAACAATCGTCGAGAATGGCGGCGGAATTCTACGCAACATCTCCTCGTTCATCGTCGGCCACGAGGAGTACCGCGAAGTCCTCCGCAAACACAAGACAATCGCCAAACTCCTGGAACAGTTGAAGTCGCCGTCCATTACTGTCGTCAGCAACTCGTGCGTCACGCTATGGAATCTGTCGGCTCACTGTCCCAAAGACCAGACCACCCTCTGGGAGGCCAATGCGGTGCCGATGTTGAGGAATCTGACCGCTTCTCGCCATAAGATGATAGCTATGGGCGCGTCCGCCACACTCAAGAACCTCTTCAACTCATCAGTTGCTCCAAAGTATATACAAATGAATGGTATGTCTGGCCGTCTGTTCCGCTTTCGTGTCAATTAATGCCGTTTTTTGGATCAATTGTAGGAAACAGTTGTCTGAACGGCAACTCGTGTTCAATACCGTCACTACAGGCGCGCAAACTTAAGGCCCTAAAGGACGACATTAATTGCGATCTCTCGGAGACCTACGACCCCATCGATAGTCCCAAAGCGAGTCCATCGCACGAGCCGTACGCGCGCTCCAAGTCTTCGGCGACACTCAAAAGCAACGTTTATTTACCAGGTTTTTGGTCAACCCGTTGTCCGCTGTATAGCTAATGATTGTCTCGTACTCTTAGGCCGAATGTACACCAGTTTCAGTGGACACATAAACCCGCATCAGGTCTCCCGTAGCAGCAGTCACGACAGCATCGGTTCCACGCATTCAGAACCGGTCGCCAAATTCAAAGACATTGAACACAATCTACGGAGTATTTATCCCTTCAGTACGCAAGTGATGCCACAAATGTATTCAACGCTGTCGTCAAACGACTCGCGCGTCAGTGACAAGGATCTGGACATTGGCTCCGACTTCGACGCGTGAGTTATCTCTAGATTTGCCACTAATTATCCCGCAGTCGTTGACACCATTCGGCTGATCATCCCTTTCCCGCCCACAGCTATTGCGGCGAATCAAACTCGCAGATGAATATATCGAGCGCTTCGGCGAAGAGCTCGTCGTTCACGGACCCGGAGCTCGACGCCGACCCCGAGCCCACCGACTATAGCGCCCGCTATAAGGAGCGTCCGATCGACGACTTCGTGGCGCCGCGCGCTAACAAACCCGAGGCCACCGGTTGTGAGGACTCCGTGAAGGTGTATAAGACGGAGGGAACGCCTCTGAACTTCTCGTTGGCCTCATCCCTGTCCGACTTGCGAGACTGCGCGGGACTCACGTGTATCGACGAGGAGAAGAGGCACCCGAAGGCCGCCGCCGATCGCAAGGCTGTGGAGAGCAAAGAGAAGGAGGTATTGGTGTCGAAGGGACGCTATTCGCCGACCGGTTCCGAGGGTATGATAACACCCGCGGCCGCCGCCGACCAGCGCTCAGCGAAAGTGATGTTTAAGAAACCCATTCCTCCGCCGAAACCAAAGTTTGCGACGACTTTATCGCCGAAGAAGCCGACTGTTGATGAGAGCGATGGCGACGACAAGCGCGCGATGAAGACGTCGAAGAGTGTGGAGTTGTTTGACGACAACTACATGAAGGCATCCGTTTCCACGAATAGTATCGTCAGCATTGATGTGAGCAATGAAAACATATGCGAAGAGACGCCACTCATGTACTCGAGGAGCAGCTCTTTAGGCTCTTTGAGCGACTGTGACGTCAAGTCAGACGTCTGCCAGAGCTCTGTCGTCAGCGAATTCAGGTCTGCCTTCGCATCGCTTTCTCGTATCCTTTGATTTGGTTTTAATTGTGATTTGTTTTCTCGCATTTGCGTGGAGTAGTCGTCGCGCGTCAGAAGTGGTCTCTCCCAGCGATATACCCGACAGTCCGTTAGACAGCCCTCAGCGCCCGTTGAGTCCTAAACTGGCCAACAGTTCGGCGCAAACACAGGAGACAACCGTCGCCAAGAATTTCGCGACGAATTCTGTTCACAAGCCGTCGGCGACCAGAGATACGGATACTGTCTTCGAGGACCGGCCCATTAATTACGCCACGGAAGGCACGCCCGCCATCTTCTCGCTGTCGACGAGTTTGAGTTCATTGACTGAAGACATTAATGGCATTCATATCGACGACAACAACGACAGCAAAGCGCTTAAAGAAAGCGACGAATCGATGCATTTGTCGGACATTCTCGAAGTGAATGACATTAAGACTGAAATCATTTACACTTCGAGTGAAGACGAGGCCGAAGAGCAGCTGTTGGCCGCATGTATTTCGTCAGGTATTTGGCGTTACAATTGTTTCGTGCGATTGCTTTGCGTTTGTTTTATAACTCATTTGTGTTTTGTTTTGAATGAATGACAGGAATGAAGACAATTGAGAAGAAGTCGAACGATAAGACAATTTCCGGTAATTCTCTGCAGAGAATCGCTTCGAAAGAAGTTGTCTTGAATTCGAGCCATTCGTCGAAAGCCGTTCCCATCGCTCAGCCGCGCATTACCTCCAGAAACAAGTCTTTGCCGACGTTTTTGGTGCGATCGGCGCCCGACGATCGCCAGTCATATCTCGAGAAGGACTCCGTTCGAGTGTACGGAACGGAGGGAACGCCTATCGAGCTGTCGAAGACCAGTTCCATTAGCGAACTGTCCATTTCAAGTGATTATTAAGTTTTTATATCCTCTGAAAACGTGTAAAACATATAATTTATTGATTATTACAGCGAATGGAAAGTTTGGAGACATGTCGACGAATCGGATCCACGAGATATCGGATGATAGTGACGACGAAGAGGTGCTCCAGAAGTGCATCGAATCGGGAATGACTGCCAACCGAAAGCACAGCCATTCGAGTCATAATACTAACCATAAGTCGAGCAAAAGTACCAAAAGATCTCCACAAACGCCAAAAACCACTCCAAACGCGTCGCCAAACTCGGGCGCCGTTGCCATCAATAAGAAGACGGAAAGCAAAGACATTAACGCGGATCAGACGAAGAGGTTCTTCGTGGAGGACACGCCGGTCGAGCTGTCGCACTGTCAGTCACCGCTCAGTGAACTCAGCTTCGATTCGGACGACCACTTCGAGGACCAGAAAATACTCAATGAAGTGATTACTAGAGGCATGAATCAGAAGAAGAGTCCGAAGGGTTCGTCGAAATCGAGATCACGTGATAAGAGGGCAGACAATATGACGAAGAGTTGCCATTCGGATGACACCAACGACGACACAATCACTTATACTGTTTGCCATAAAAGTAATGATTGTTTTGCCATTAATTGCAGAGTTTTTTGATGACATTTGGTGTCTGTTTAGGCGAACGGTTTGCCAATCGGGAGACCAATCGGAAACTGAGCGATAGTTTGATGACGTCGTCCGCGATGACTGACTCGAGTTGTCTGTCAGACTTGGATCACATGAAACCGCCGTCACTGATGGACAACTCGATGTTCTCTTCGTCCGAATCCTTTTCCTACCGACAGATCGCTCCCAAACCGGCCGTCAATGCGGTCCACAAGAAGTCGGACGAGAAGTCGGAGATACTGTTGGATAACGTGAAGCCGCCGTCGATTATGGACGAGATATCTATGAGTCAGAGCTGCGCCAGTATTACGTCAGACATACCGGAGCTCGTGTTCGACGGAGACGTGAAGAATAGCGACAAAATCGGCGAATTGGCCAAAATGTGCGCCAATCGGATCAATTCAATGACATATTTGGCCGACACTTCAGATGCGGACGCAATCGAGAGGAATGGTCACCGAAATCGAGTCAAACCAAACCGTCAGTGAAATTGTGTTTAAAATTTTTTTAGTTATATTTTGCTTACAATTAGTCGTTTTGTTTATGAATATAGACCTCAACTCAAAGACCAGTTCCACTCAACTCGAGTACGACATCTCCGACACCGAAGTGTCCGAAGACCTGCCGATCGATAAGGAGGCGCTGAACAGTGTCTCGCAAAACGATATAATACTTGATTTCACGACGTCTTCGTCGACGCTGTTATCGCTGGAGTCGCCGACCATTTGTGCGGACGTTATGACAGACTTCGACGACAAGACACGACTCGCGCGACGAGAGAAGGAGTTAATGCTATCGAAGCGACGCTTTTCGCCGATCGGCTCCGAGGGTATGATAACACCCGTCGGCGCTGACGAGCACTCGTCGGTCGTGTCGGACGACTCGGACCCCGACTCCCGGGCCACGTATAACGTGAACTCTCCGCGAAGGGCGCGCATTGTCCGACCCGTCGCTCGAAAAGTAATTCATTTTTTCTTGTGATTTGAATTGAGTTTTGGTTTTAAAATGTTTTGTCTTTTAGTCGCCGAAAGACGACTTCCAAGCGATGACCCAAACGTCGGTCCCATTGAGCGCATCGGCCGTTAGAAACAAATATACGGCGAAACCGACGCGCACTTCAGCCCTCAGGGCCTCCCGTTCCCGATCGGTCGACACGCATCTCACCGAAGACATGGCGTTCTCGTCGCATAAGAGCGCCGATCGGCACCTGTATTCCAGTCATCGCAACAAATATATCGATTATATGACCGAAAATAACCCGAACTTCGCGTTCAATGAGCCCCACAACGCATCCAAACCTCCGAAACCACACAAAAACGACGACAAAGACATGGCGTCTACGTCTAAGACTCGGGACAAGTCGTTGATCTCAAACGTTCGCTCAAAGCTGTCGGCGTCGCTCTCGTCGCACGCCTTGGGCTCCAGTAATGCCAGTCTCTCCTCGTCGTCGTCCAACGGTTTGACGCCTTCGTGCGCCTCCTTTTCGGGTCGACTTCACGTCCAGTCGAGGATCGCATCGCTTTGGAAGCGCTCGAAGAGCTCGTCCGTCGATAAGTCGGACAAAAAGAAGTTAGATTTGAGTCGATCCGTAAGCGCCCGCAGGTATGTCCCCGTCAACTGTCTGTCCGTCTCACTCGTGTCCATCATTTGTGACAATTGTATTGATTTGCAGATCGTTTGGAAAGTCGAGTAAAACTGATCCGAACAGTGGTTTACAGCGGAGTTCGACGTACGAGAAGTTACCGCAAAGTGCTGACGAGGCTTCCCATGCGGACCACACCTCCAGAGACCATAAGAAGCAAATGAACGACAAGTTTAACAACAATTATATCGTTAAACACGAGTCCAGTAGTCATCAGAAGCGGCAACAGAACGACAAAACGAACGGAAATTCTGTGTATTTGTCGTCAAAATCGGCGAAGACTTGGAATAAATTAAAAACGAATAAGAATTCAGTTTTGAATAACAATCTAATCAGTGAGACATTTGTCGGCAGACATCCAGTTCCTCAAAACACTACCACCACTACGACGTCGGGAACGGCAGCTAAGACTTCGGCCAACTCTCGGCGCACTTGTCTCGTGACCGCCGTTTGAGCCCTGCTTTCAGTCTTTGTATTGTATTTGAAAGTCTTTTTTCATATCAATTAACACTTAAAACACGACAAAAAACTTAAACTTTTTTCGAAAACTGCTATTCATTATAATATAATTACTAATTATGTTTGCATTCAGTAATTATATGCCATTTGTGTTCATATGATTACACGTGAAATCAGTGCATAATTTTAAGTGAAATTTTATTTACATTTAGTTTAATTGAGATTATGTTTGATATATTGATTGCTATTTTACTGACACTTATTAGCGGCCATACCATGTATTGATAATTAATTTTTTCTATTTATTTATCATCAATTAATGCCATATTTTTGCCAATTTATCATTGTTTTTATTAACCCATGAGTTTATCATTGATTTTAATGCCATTTCAATGTCTTATATAATGTTATTATGCATTCATTAGTATTGTATTAATTTAAAAGTAAAATAAAAATTATTATACACAAAAATAATGAAATAAATGATTCACATTTTGTCGATAAGTAAACGATAAGTAAAACACAAAAAACTAATTTTATTAAATAAAAGACAAGTCTCTGCCACTCTTTATATTTGATTTCATTCGTCGGTCTCTATATTAAGTGATATTTATTTTTCTTATTTACTCCTCAAATGAAGTCCTAAACTAATTATTAGACGAAAAACTATTTTATCATTTCGTTCATAAGCTCTGCTATAGAGTTGTCCTAAAAGTTTGCATTTTATAATATATTTAGTCAAATATATTGCTAACTAAAAAGTTTTTATTAAATTCTGTGGATTCGATTCTATAAACAAAATTCTTGTCATACATTGTAATCGAGAATAAAAAATATTATAATTTCATTCAAATAGTCGGTTACAGCTATTAGACAATTGATTCATTTTAATTTTGAATATTATAACATAGATTATATTCAAAATTAAAATGAATCAATTGTCTAATACTGGACAGTAATTGTTTGTGTCTAATAATGTGTGTATAACTCAAACAAATGCAATACTTTTCAAATAAATTAGACTTTAATGAGAAATATCGGTATAAATAAAGTAATAATTTATTGATTTTAATTAACAATTTATTTATCGTGAATATTCATATAATTATCATTTTCTAATATATTAAAATACAGGTTAAAACTAAAAGCAAATTAAATGAATGAACTATTTTTATTAAAATTTAATAAAATCAATAAATATTTACTTTATTTATACCGATATTTCTCATTAAAGTCTAATTTATTTGAAAAGTATTGCATTTGTTTGAGTTATACACACATTATTAGACAAACAATTACTGTACAGTATTAGACAATTGATTCATTTTAATTTTGAATATTATAACATAGATTATATTCAAAATTAAAATGAATCAATTGTCTAATACTTTATACAGAACCGACTATAAGACGACAATTTGAATGAAATTATAATATTTTTTATTCTCGATTACAATGTATGACAAGAATTTTGTTTATAGAATCGATTCCACAGAATTGAATAAAAACTTTTTAGTTAGCAATATATTTGACTAAATATATTATAAAATGCAAACTTTTAGGACAACTCTATAGCAGAGCTTATGAACGAAATGATAAAATAGTTTTTCGTCTAATAATTAGTTTATGACTTCATTTGAGGAGTAAATAAGAAAAATAAATATCACTTAATATAGAGACCGACGAATGAAATCAAATATAAAGAGTGGCAGAGACTTGTCTTTTATTTAATAAAATTAGTTTTTTATGTTTTACTAATCGTTTTTGTGTCTCTTTTTTCATTTGAGTCCTACTTTTCCACTCATTCTGTGCTTACAATTCGAGTCATTTTCCGACAAAATTAGTTTCAAATCAAACATTTGATGTGAGATTTTGGTGCCAAACCTCACGACAGTTCCCATGCATTCGCTTCTGTATGCTATGACTGGCTCTGGAGAGACCAACCACTGGTGCCCTCATAAGCCATTGATATTTAAAGAATCGCTTAAAATATTTACATTATATTTACATATTGTGTATAAAACTAGTTTTGTTTTATTTTTTATCAGTAAATAGAGTTTTATATGAATTCCTGTATTCAAATGAATTGATTGAATATTAATGTCTTTCATTTGATATAAGTTTTCCGACAAGAAATGAGTGAAGAATTTGTGCTTTTATTGTATAATTTCATTAATAGTGAACTTAAACTCTATTTATACACAAAACACATGTATTGATAAGAATGGCGAGAATTTCAAGAATTTCATAATAATTATATTCTTTTCATTTATGACAACATTTTCCATAAGGATTCCGTGCTAGTTGGTTTTGGAAATACCTGGTTCATATATTGATATTAGACAAATTAAACTAATTATTAGTTTCAAAAAAATAAAACATAAAAAAATAACTGACAAAATGTGAATCATTTATTTAATTATTTGTGTATAATAATTTTTATTTTACTTTTAAATTAATACAATACTAATGAATGCATAATAACATTATATAAGACATTGAAATGGCATTAAAATCAATGATAAACTCATGGGTTAATGAAAACAATGATAAATTGGCAAAAATATGGCATTAATTGAATGATAAATAAATAGAAAAAATTAATTATCAATACATGGTATGGCCGCTAATAAGTGTCAGTAAAATAGCAATCAATATATCAAACATAATCTCAATTAAACTAAATGTAAATAAAATTTCACTTAA